CATTTTCTTACTTTGGTCTTCCGCTGTCTTGCTGTCTACATCAATGACTTTGTTAAATGTTTCGAGTTCATTTGAAGCTAGTTTGTATGTTTTTATACCTGTCGTGTTGGGTCTAACAATTACCATATGTATCTGTAACACCGCCATCTGGAGAAATTTTCAAAACGAGAGTGTTGTCTCACAGCATCGTAATGGAGCTTCGCGAAACCGACGCTTAACAAAAACTGTTCTTCTGGTGTCCATACTGGCTTTATTAAGTTGGCTTCCCATAAGCATCTTGAACGTATTAATCCATATAACTAAGATATCAATACCATGGAAGTTTTATTACGTGATGAACATTCTAAATTATTCTAACTCTTTTGTCAATCCAATTGTGTACGTATTGAGAATTCCTGAGTTTCAGCAAGCGCTACGTTCTTGCTGCACAAAGAGGAGACCAGCCATTAAGATGGTAAAAACCGAAAGACAAAACCGAAAAGGTACACCCAGAACGCCAGAGATAGAACTAAGAATGTTACGAAACGATCCCAACCGCCTGCAAGTTGATGTTGAACAAGAATATATGGAAACTAAGTTTTAGTCAGCTGAGATAGGAGGATCGTCCGCTTTGTTACTGAGTAGTGACATTCATAGGAAGCAGGAGCCATAAATGTGGAGTATAGTAAGAAAATTGGATAACGTTCTTAAATTTTCAATTTTTCGCTTCACAGAGCCCTGTTGTTCTATAGGGTTGCTTTTTGCAGCAGCAGTTTACACCACTTAAGTTTGAATTTCATCCAGTCATAAAAATATGCTGTTTTATTTATCCTATCTGAGCAAAATATCGTCTCATTGTACGAAAAAATAAACTCTTCATAAAAATGATAGTTCCAGCTCTTAAGTTATTGCTTAAATTAACACACCTATACTTTTAAGATTGTCAGAACATGTCAATGGTCATCATATGGACCATGCCCTCAGGAGTGTGAAATGAAAAATAAGATAGAATAAAGAGCGTACAGCTGTAACTGCTGTAACTAAAGTTTAAGAATGTTATTTTGCCATTTATTATAAGGAGAACGATCGCCTGTTTAGATCAAATACAATTTAAAACATATTTCAAGAACACCGAATGCACAAGACACCTGCACCAGCGTTAACTCAGCTCGTGGACAAGACGCTTTAATTTTGACAGAAAAAAATATCACGAAATAATTTTTTCCTCTGAACTTAAGGCCGAGTCGGGCTTGATATTCGTAATATAAAAACAGACTTTCGTGAAAAGTTACCAAGAGGTCATTTTTATTTGCACGTGCGAAGAGAAATTCTGGTATTTCATCGATATCCATATCACAAAACTATACTCGAGATATCTCCATGGGCTAAAATGTGACTAAATACATTTTTGACAGATCAACCGACAAAAAGAGGAAATGGTTTATATCATAAAATAATAACTAAAAATAGCATACTGCATAGAATTACAGATGCGGGAACCACATTTTCTCTGAAAGGATAAAAACGCTTGTTTTTTATAAAACATTAAGGAATATTTTAAGTCGAAGGAACAGTTTTGGTCTCGTTCCGCATTTTTGTCAACAAAATAAAAACATCTCGGTTAAAAAGATGAAATATACGGACCACGTGCAAAGCTGTTAATTGTTTTTCGAATATTACGCGTGTTAAATATTCAAGTGACATCTCATTTTCATCCATATCTACTTTTATTAAGTTGGTAAACTCTGTACAGACATCACACCAACCAACTCGCGCGCAAAGTGAGAAGACTATATGAAGACTTGAAATTATATTAAGAACGATTGTGATCAAGAAACGGACAAGGAATATTCCACACTAGTGCAGGCAGCCTGACAATAGTGCAAATAATCGTGAAAGATGATCGCGGGAAAGCGCGATTGCGTGACGCTCGGTAAGTTGTGAGATGACAGTTATCAAGTATTAGACGAAAACACAGTATAAATTCTCAGTCTGCATTTTTTTACCCAGTCTGCAGTCTGTAGTCTGCATTTTGTACCAGGTCTGCAGTCTGCACTCTGCATTTTGTACTGACCGGACTGGTATTGCTG